AGGGAGATGTGCGAATGTGCAGGATACCATTTTTGTCATGAATACGCGAAATTCCGCGCTAGTGAACGGTGTTCCGTTGTCGGATACCACTTTATCCGGCAATCCATGGGTCGCGAATGCCTGTCTCAGTTTTTCGATTATTGCATGAGTGGTGGCGTGGTTTATCAGAAAACCTCCATCCACTTGGAATGCGAGTCCACCACGACACGGAACATCTTATCCGTGAAGGGGCCTGCACAGTCAATATGCAATCTGGACCAGGGGCAGACAGACCATTTCCAGGGATACAGTTCGCTCTTTGGAGGCATTGGTTGATCTTGCTGGCATTTGTGGCATCCATTGACCTCCATTTCTATATCTGCATCCATCTTAGGCCACCAAGCGAACCCTCTGGCGAGGCTTTTCGTCCTTGATATGCCGGTGTGACCTTCGTGAAGGCTATGGAGAATGCGCTTTCGCCCTTGTGAAGGGACGATCACTCGATTGCCCCACATGAGGCAACCATCTTGAACAGAAAGTTCTGTACTATGAACTGTGTACGGTTTCATATCCTCTTCCACCCTATCATGTGAGGGCCATCCTTCCCTCACCATGCAGAGTATCTTGGACACCAGCGAGAGCGCTGCACTGGTGTCGACTTCCATGACCAGATCATTGTTGTCAATAGACATGGTGACTTTTGATGGCTTTCATGCCTGAACGATTGCTGGAACACTCAAAGAGAGTGTACACTGGACTCTTGTCAAAATCTGACTCGTTCCCATCACTGTCAGTGTCACTCATGTTTTCTGCAGCACTCATTGGCTTGATTTGATGATGTGACGTTTTTCCACTTTTCCCACCTCTACAAACACCCGCGATATGTCCAAGTTTCTGGCAGTGGAAACAAGTTTTATTTTTGAATCTGCACTTGTCAGGATGGTGGTTATTTTTGCCACAACGGTAGCAGGGTTTTAGCGTTTTTCCCTTTGCTTTCGAGTCAGGTTGCTTGAGTAGTAGGGAAAGGAGAGTTCTGGAGCACCTCCTCTTTGTTCTGGAGCACATCCTCTTTCACCCCCTTTCACCCACCACTCGCGCTGGGGATTTCCACTTCACTGACCTTGAACTTTTGACCCAGGCGCACTTTTGTGTAAACAACTCGTGACCAGCACCGATCGTACCAGCAATCCCTCACAAACAAAAAAGGGACTTCCCGTCGACCTGAACTCGTTTACAACCGCCTTAAATAAATGAACTATTAATAAAAGATGACTGATGCAGAACTTTGTCACTTGCTGAATCTAAAGGAAGTATACATAGCAGGATCTCAAAAACAAAGTAAACCGATACATCCTTGTAACCACCAAATACTCGAAATAGATGAAAGATATGCGTGTAAACATTGCAGTCTAATTTTTGGGTTCGCTTCGCTCACTTCTTTCACCCCGCCGACATGGGAGATATAAATATTACAAACATCACGTTTGGAGGAAACCAGCCCCACCAAAATCGAGAAAAACCCTACAAAAATATAACATTTGTTTTAAAAACGGCGAAGCGGGTGAAATAGAATATAAAATAAAAAAGTTTTAAACGTTAAGATCTCTAGAGGTAAACCCTTGCAGGCTTTAATCGCGGTGTGTTATCAAGACACAACTGGGGAAACCGAATCTAAAATGAAAGATCTATTTCAAGTTTCGGATAAGCACTGGGAAAACGCCTGAGAAAAGTTTTTAAATAGTTTATGATATTAAAATGGAGACCCACACATTTCACTCGACTAAAAATCCGCAGACATTT